TACAAAACATCGGATGGAGTCTCGGACGAAATGAGTCTTGGCAGCTATACGACGTTGTTTTAGATGATGCGCGTACGACGACGAAGGCGGAAATTGGCGCTTGGGGGGCCATCTTGTTTTCTCGTGCGCACATAGGGCCACTAAGCTAAGCTGAGAGCATCGGCACTCTGTTTGCCCAATTGCCTTTCAAGCGCACCGTTTTTTTTTTAATTTCTTTTTATAGTACAAAAAAGTAGACGACATGGGTCAACGTTGAAGTTCAAAAAGAGCGACTGCCAGAGTTTTAAGTACATTGTAAGGAACCTCAGGCGACTGCGTTTTTCTTTATCGCGGACTGTTTTAATGATTTTAGAGAACGGAGAAAAGTTTCTCGGGGCTTCATATAAAACTTGGAATAGCTGGCAACATTGATTCTATGAACCAGGATGGCTGAAGCAAGTTTAAAGCGTAGTTTATATCGAGGTTCTACCAATGCGCAAGTGTTTACTCGGACTCAAATAAGCAATCTTACGATGAGCCCCGACCACAAGTAAAACAAATTATAGAACAAATTGATCCTAAAAGCATCGGTGTACATTGTAGCTTAGTGTTGTCCACGTGGGTATATAGTTCAATTTCCGGCCCTCTTTGTGCACAATGAGGACCGGAAATTGAACTATATGCTTTAGTATACTTACGCAGCGTTGAGCGAAGCATGGAGACAGCCCCACATTTGTAATCACCAGGGCTCGAGGAAATGAGATGTTACGTACCTCCACCGCGTTCCGCAAACTCATTAATGATACGAGTGTTTTGATAGCCTAACGAAAGTATAGTACTGGCTCGACTCGTATTATCTTGTTTCTCGTGTGCGGTCCTCATTAATGTTTGTTCTTTATATTCCTACGTCCACAAAAAAGTGTATTTAGATACAAAAAGAAAAAGAAAAACAAGATACTTTGTATTTTTGGCCCACGGGCTTTCAATGCGATCTCTTGGCTGGAAAGCAAACTGCGAAGAGAAGAAACGACCATCAGAAGAATAGTAGCATTTTTAATGCCTATTGAGGGGAAAAAAAGGGGAGGGGGGGGGGGGGGGTTGACAATGGAATTTGCAGGAGCGATTAGGTTAGGAAATTTTTCGGCGCAAATCAAATTGCGAATTGAATGAATATCTCGAAATAAGGACTTGAGTCGCATTGTTCGGACGTTAGTGGGTCTTAAAAAAAATAAACAAGCTCGATTATGTTGAAAAAGACCGGGAAACAGACTGTGTTGAGTGAAAGCAACGTACTTGGGGGGGGGGGGGGGGGGGGGGCAGCGGTTCCTTAAGGAGGTACTGAACCGAAATTTCGGATAGGTGGGACGCTGCAAACCCCCAAAACATCGCACATACAGCGATATCTCGAACGGATCGCCGTATTTTTGGAAAATAAGTGCGCGATTGAACATGGTCGACGAGTCCGACGAGACAAGTCACGTCACGATTCCTATTCCCTCTCCTCCTCGCTACGTCCCGTCGAGCTGGTGAACCGAAGCGAGGAGGAGGGAAGCGAGTCCGCCTCCCCTCATTCTCAAATTCTCCCGGGGGACAATGACGTCAAAGACGTCGCTTGATCGCGCCCTTCTTTTTCAAAAGTACGGCCATCCGTTTGAGATAACGATCTATAGGTGATGTTTTGGAGTTCGCAGCGTCCCGTTCAACGCTTCTTCGGGCCTATTTTACGAAATCGAAATTTCGGTTTAGTATCACTTTAAAGCGCGATCCAAACCAACCGTTTTCTTTTCTTTTTTTTGCGCGCCTAGGCCGTGCGCTTCCCGGAAATTGCGTACTTCGTGAAGTTTTTTCTGTTTCCGGTGCGCTTTCTGAGCCACAACCATGCGCGTTGGTTAAGACTGTGCGTCTTCGGGCGAGCGAAGAGCATCTGCGCCAGACGGCGAAGAAACGCGGAGCCGGAACTAGTGCCCCCCACCGATTGGCCGGGAGTGGAGCACCCCACTACGGCACAGCGCGTTTTCGCGCGCGTTCAGAAAAGGTTGATATCATCCAACTTTCTCATGGCGCCCGGAAGGCGCAAGGAATCAGCGCGACCTCACGAGATATGCAATTTCCGGGAGCCGCGTGGCCCACGCGCGCACAAAAACGCGTTGGTTTGGAGCGTAGTTGCTCTCCGAACACCTACGCCACTTAGGTCTGTGGTAACCGGCTAACAATCATTTGGTCACGGGTTCGATTCCCGTCGTGGTGTAATTTTTATGTTCGTTTGGAATGGGTCCTATGGGCTCATATACTTTATACAGGGGGTCCCAGATAACATATCCCACACTTAAAACAATAATAAAAAAAAAACAAAAAACGGAGCGCTTAGCGGGAGTGTTTGTATGTTGTTAGCCAGGGTCTTACGGAAATGCACCATCTTGTTCAGTGGGCCTAGTTATTTAATTAATTAAGACTAATGAGACAATTTTTTGATTATTCAATTGAAGGGCCAAGGTGTGAATTGGAAAGTTGTAGAGAAAATTGAGAAGCACCCAATTAAGCTGTTTGCTACATGGTACGCTTTGCGCGCTTCTCTTTCTTAGCCTACAAAAAAAAAAACAAGACATAGCCCACCTTATCAAGACATAGCCCACCTTATCACAGGCGCGCCATCCGAGATAGGGCGTCGAGTTTGTATACAGCTTCTCTACGTGGGCGCCACCACCTTCAATTCTGGAACTTCCGGTATGCGTGAGAACATCGCTTTCTTTTCGCCTCGAGACCAAGAACGACCGTTAGTCGTTCTTGTTATGACCCTTCTATACTTTTTTTTTACTTGTTCAGGGTTGTAATCTCTTCCTTTTTGTTCGGAACGCCTACCGGATAGAGGGACGACGTGACTAGGTGCGAGGCTAAACGAGAAAGGTATACAATTCCCACCGAAGAGAGGCACAAGCACTTGCTGCTATAAAGCCCTATCTCCGAGTGTCTACTTTTCAGCAAAAGACATGAAAGACCGAATCGCTGCAATCTACACAGGAAGTTTGACGAATAACAAGACTGAAAATACGCTCAGGCCTGAAAACGCGGTAGGGGATGTGGCACTGGGTATGGTGAAACATCATGCTCAATAACAAAGCGCTGACTGTCTTTTTAATGTCTAAACTTGTGTCAGCCTCATAATTCGCCGAGCTGCCAGAATTTTTGTTACTGTAAAGTTTGTGAAACGCTCGAAAGCGTCACTCTAGTCAGACGCAACGTAAGAATGATTGTGCTAAGTGGACGACGGCGGGCCCGAGAAAAACCATTGTGGAAAGGAGGTCACTCCTCTCTTCTTTAGCTTTCCTAGTTTCCACAATTTTCCCCCTCGCATTAGCTTTCTTACGTTGATTCTGACTTATAGAATGTGTTGCTCAAATATAAAGGTTTTTAATGTAATTTTTGTTTAAAATAATAATAATAAGCTTCATTTACCTTTAAAGGGGCCCTGCAATGACTTTTTGACTGGTTTTTAATTTGCACTGAACCTGAGCGTACTGATCGTAGTAACTTAATCCAACTTTTCTTTTCTCAAATTTCGCTTTATTTTAAAAGTTATAGGCAAATTAGAATTACAAAAACAAGCAAAAAATAACCTCCTTCATGACGTCGTAGGTCCTGCCTTGAGTGGCCGTGAACTAGAGGAGGTGTAGTGAGCTCATCGAGCGCAAACGGCTGCCGCACTCCGTGTCGACGGCTCGAGAGGGCGCCACTAAAGCACGTGTTGGATAGGCTGTATGAAGCGGGCGGCCAGGGCAGCTCGTATTGCATTTGCAGCGCGACTAAACACTAATTCGGCATAACATTTCATTGGCCACAAACGACAGCAAACACGGGGTAAAGTTCAGTTCAGAACGGGAGCCACTTCGCGCTGACGCACCGCCAAATGGCCAAATCGCCAACAGTGCCCGCGCCGAAGGCCTTCGGAACGCTCGGAACCGGTCGGATTCTTGAGCCGGTATACGACCACAGCGCCGCCGCGTACATCCGGGACCTTTCTACTCTCCTCGTTTGTCGTAGCCTCATTCCACTACCCTTTTCTAGTATGCGCAGTTTTTTTCTGCCGCTTGGTGGCGGGTATGTCGACGGGTCATTTCTCGTTTCCGTACTTTCTAAACTGCATTTGTTTCTTTTCTGATCTAAAATAGTGAACCAAAACTACTTTCATACATAATTGAAACGGTTCGCGACACGTATATTTTGTATCTCGACTAAAAAAAAGCTCTTAGCGGCTTTGACCAGTGACAAGCCCAGGACCAAAGACGTCACATTTTGCGCGCTTTCGGTACCGCGGGTCGCCTTCGTCGGGGGAGGAGGTTTCCGCGTCGTCCGGTTAAAATATGACGCACTGATATTTAGTTACTCTCTCCGTGCCCGCTGGCTTGCCCCAACCCCAAGAGACGTGGAAACCGCAAAAAAGGTAGACGCTTGAATATGATTGCAGGGCCCCTTTAAGTGTGGTGGGAGCTGAGGAAAAAAGCCGTTAAAGCAGCTGTACGCCTCCTCAGCCCCCTTACAGTCACACAGCAGTTCTAAAGATTACCATAGACAATAAATTATATAATACTCGAAATAACACAATATACATACAACATTTCAAGAGCAGTAATACAAGTTACATAACAGTAATCAAATAACGCAGTGATATATGTACATAAAGAAAAAAAAAAAAAAACAGCGTTATGACGATTTTGGAAGAAAGTAATTCCGATGTTCACGAGTAATATATGACCTTCTATCTATATCTGAATGGACAAACAAGTGTGTTTAATAAGGCTGGCAAGGCCCGTTTAATCCTTTGAAGGCCATAGTCTGAACGCGAGGTTTTACACAGAAGTCTGGGTGACGGGCGGAATATGTTGGAACTTTTACTCTGATTGATGCTAAGGATAACAAAAACGTATTTGTCTCGTGTTGCTCCTGTTTACATTTCATAGTAATGAGATTATTTTGTCAACTAGTGAAATAAATTTTGCGTTAATTTTTTTTTACTCCTCGTCCAGTGATTTCGTGTGGGGAACCGGAGATTCCTCTAGGAGGCTACGTGGTGGAGGAGGACTTCCAGGTGCACGATACAGTCCACTACAAGTGTCACCCGGGACACGTCATGGCGGGGCATGAGACCAGGACGTGCCTCCGGGATGGAACCTGGTCCGGATCGGCACCCACCTGCTCATGTAAGGAGCTAGGACCCACCCATTTTCTTTCCGACTCAGAGCCGAAGGTACTGAATGGAGGAGAACGGCCACGGTTGTTCTTCAGTTTTCCCGCCTCCAGTACGGGCTTCCCACCATGTATAATACGCTTGGGAGTCAAGCGAGCCTCCAACATGACACGCAGCCAAGGCATGGTACAAGGCAATGAGCGGGCGCGGGTGGCCGGGCATCACAAAGAGACGCCTCACCAGTTTCATCGTGACAGTGACTTTTGCTGCGGGCTGCAAGCCGTGTGCCTACGAAGCGTAATCTGCCTGCGGTCGTCTTGAGCGCGGAGACTCGCCTTAAAGTCACGAGGTTACGTTAGGGTTTATGGGTTAGGGACGGAGAGCTGGCATATTTGACTTTCAGTCAAATGGATGAAAAAAACAACAAGGTACCGAAGTATTCACGACTCCAGTCATAGCTTTCTATTTACTGACAGAGACTGTAAGATCGCCACGAGAAGCGGCCGCCGAAATGGAAAAGGTGGAGCGGCAGACAACGAATGAGAGGATAGCCACGTGACTGGCGCCCGGCTGCGGCGAGAGACCGAAACACACTTCTCCCGAGCGAAGAAGTGTGTTTCGGGTCCTCGCCGCTGCAAAAGCTGTGCGCTGACGTCCAGCTTCCCCGAGAAATGGCTCCTTGATGCTGTGTGCTACCAGATCCTCGCGCTCCAAATCTTTGACGGGGCACTCTATGGCCCTGTTGTCGAACTGCCAGGCTTTGTGAGTATAGAGGAGCTATGCACTAAGAAAACTGGCATTCGCTACGCCCTGCGTTTCTTGAGTTATCTAAAGTGAAGGGGAACAGCTTCACTATAGTCACCGACAAGGGTCGAAGATGTTTGTGCGCCTTTCGATTTTCTCGGAGCAGTCGTGGACTGCGGCCGGGTCCCTCCGATCCTGAAAGGGGAAGTGGCGTACGAGAACGGCACGACGTTCCTGGGCAGCAGGATCGTGCACGGCTGCAGCGCCGGCTACAGACTCACCGGGGTGCGTGTTCGCACCTGCGGTCTTGAAGGACGCTGGAGCGGCACTCCGCCAAAGTGCGAGGGTGAGTAGTACCGTCTAGATTTTTTTTTTCGCGCTGTTTTGGCGCCTGTTTCAGCTCCTTGGTCCAGCTTGTCTTATTGCTGCGGCCCTTTTATATCCCTTTTGAGCCCTACTTTAACAATATCTGCCATTTGTTTTGTGTATTCACAAGTTCCCAGGCACTATATCGTTTAAAAACAATGTCTTAAAAGAAATCGGCATTGCATGTTAGAAGACAGTATTTTGTAAGGAATGACTTCATAGTTTTCGAAACGCCGATATGTGACCCGAGGGAAAACACATCTTACGTCTTTTGTGGGATAACAGCAATAAATTAAAGCGTCCCAAACAAATACAAAGCAGAACCCGGTCTACATAGCTTCGTTCGGGCAGAGCTCGAGTTGAAGAGAGCATGTGTATTATTACGAATGTGACGGGTCACCGAACACTTGTCTTTAAATGGCCTAAATGTCTGAGCGAGGGCTTGTGGAACCTATGGCACTTGTGGAGTTACGCTCTCGTAATCATTGCATCTATTAGCGTACAGATAACCAAAGAAATCAAGGTAGAGCCGCTGTGTCTTATTAACATTTGGCTTTACTTTTTCAAGTTATCTAATATACTGATACCAATATTATTTTCTGAGTAACAGTGTTCTTGGGCGATGTCCTGAGGAACGCTTTGGCTCACCACATTGCTAGTTTAGAACTCTATATCTAGCATTGCATCACCGGAAGTAATGTGTTGGTGTGTTGGTTTGTGTTCCGGTTCGTTAGCACTGTCCCAGGTGCGGAACATCGCAACTCGTGTGTGGCATTTTTGTACTAAAATGAAGGTTTTACGGCACATCTCAGAAGTAGTGTAGAGTGAAAGAAGTAATAGTGTAGTGTAGAGCGAAAGAAGTAATAAAATAGTGGCAGGCATTTTTTTAATTTTCAAAGTTCTTTTTAGAATTTTTAATACAAACGGTGGAAACAACGCTTAGTAATTATGATATAAGGTCTAAGTGCCGTGGTTATAATTTTGCCAACCGCAAAGAGATTGTCCAACCTTTAAAAATTTGACGAGCCAGCTTGACGGGGTCTTAAAGAGTCCAGGTTCGCGCACGCGTTTCTTTACAATAGTTGGCATTCAATGCGACTGTTCATTCTACTGAAACCTCTTTCAAGGCTTGCAGATGAACTCTGTCAAGTAAGAAATAACTTTTGTTAGGGACTGACACATTATGCCGCCATTGAACTTTGTACAAACGTCCAACAGAATCATAATCTTACGCGTCTGAAATAACGCCACCCATCCATCATTTGTCAAACATAATCGCTCAAAAAACCGCTAAAAATTACAGTACACTAAAGAGGTATATGCAGAGTCTGTTCAAAACGCTATTGTTCTTACCAATGTGGCTCCGGCAGATATCAAAGACCGCCAGCTGTTCTGCATATCGACCCTTTGCGGAGACCTATAAGCTCTTTCAAACTATGTGCGTGTTCGCTATTCTTGACAAGGCTTCAGAGGCCCTCATTTCGCTACCAGTGCGGTAAAACACGTCTGTGTCCAACCGCCAAGCTAAAGAAATCAAATCAGCCCCTGAGTTCAATATCCTGCGCCTGCAGGGACCATTTGTTCGCATACGCTTCTACTCTGTAGGGGCTACGTACACGTTCGATCGTAATGTGCTTCTCGAAGTGCCTCTCCGGACAACACATATAGGTCGTAAGACTCAATCATAATTTCTGGCTACTGAGCACAGTGAATATAAAAAAGAAACCTAGGTCCTCGTCTTTGTCACGCGATTGTTGTCGGAAGAAGACGTAATCGATTTGGGGTCGCTGAACTACGACAGCGCTCTGTTCTAAAAACTAGGGACGTTGCGAAATTGCGGAGGTCCAGTGTTGTTCAAAATATCGCTACAAGTATTTAAGTTAAGTTACTAGATGCCTCCACCATAAAGTATTTAAAATACTACTCAAGTTACTTTCACTGTAAAGTATCTTGAGAAGAGTAGAAATACTTATAAAGGTAATTAAGTTACTTTTGAAGACATTTCCGCACTGCATAATTTGAATCGACGTCAGTGACAAACATAATTATAGAGTTGCGCAAATCTGGTTTACCAGAATGGTTTATTAGCGCGCAACAGAACAAAACGAACACAAAAAACAACAACATTATAGGATTACTCTATGTAGTCCAACTACAAGGGGCAGGACATTACTGATACATGCTATAAAACATTTCTGGGAGAGAAAAAGAAACGAGGTCGCTTCTGCTATAGTGACATTTCTGAATGTCACATACTGCGGCGCACCTTCGAAGCATCATTTAACGAGAATTCATATTCTCCATATGGGGAGTTCACCATAAGCGAACTTGGGATTCGGAAATGAGCGAATGAATAACAGAGCCTACATAATAGCCACGGCACTGGTCGCACTTTCTTTAAAGGGGCACTGACACATCAAAATCATATTTTATTTTACTATCCGAAACGATTGAAAACGATGCCTGGACATTACCCTCAAAATTTGAAACTTGGGAATTCAGTATTTCTGAATTAAAAAAACAATTTCCAAATGACGAATTTGAAGTTCCCGCGCGATCCGCGCCAGTGCAGTGAGTCACATTTTGCGGTCTCCTGCGACTTGACTTTCTGTCGGACCTCCGCTCCACGCTGTGAAGCTAAGCGCCGTTGCTACCGCGGCCCGAAGCGAGGAGGAGGCGAGCAGGCGGGATAGAAGGGTGCCGGCGCGGGAAAAGAACCGGTTTCGTCCCCGACTCGCCGATAATCCTCTGCTCGAGCGCCGCCAAGTTTTCCGAGGGAGCATACAAATCCAGGAAGCGACATCACACCGAAATCTTATTTTCGGTATTTCAAAAAGAAAGGCCGTAGTGCGTTCGCAATTGCGTTAAAAAACATGTTTTACGATTGTCGTTATTAAATGTTATACAAAGGTCGCCTACAAAGCTTCTAAATTTCCTGATTTTTGACGTCACCGATCAAAAGAAGCAAGGAGGTGAGCGCGGGAAATATAAACGCCAAAAATAAAAAGGCGCGCGCGCGCGGGAAAAAATTTTTTTTCGCCATGCGTTTTTTTTTTGCGTGTTTATGACTACAACTTGCATCGTTTTAGACAATAAAAAAGAATACGACCTTTGGGGTGTCAGTGCCCCTTTAAGTAGTTACGTTCAGAAAGGCACTCAACGTTGGCGTCGCTTTGTTGGCATCTTTATTTTATTTATTTATTCATATACCCGTAAAGGCCCTCGTGAGAGCATTACATAAAGGGGGGGGGGGGGCTGCATGGATAGGTTTCATACAATAATAACACAAAGAAGGGAAAATAAATATGCACACATTAACAAGAGTTCAATAAAACCACCAAAAAGCAAAACAAAAAACATTAGGCACAATAAACACAGTTCAAAATTAAACCTTGCTGTTTAATCAAATAATCTCGATAATTACGTTTTGAATGCGTCAGAGTTTTCAATTGTTACGATGGCATCAGGCAGGTTGTTCCAGTCGAGAATTGTCTGGGGAAAGAAAGAGTGGGTGAATGCGTTCGTGCTGCCAGATAAGCGGGCGATTGTTCCAGAATTTTCTTGTCGGGTCGATGATCGGAGCGGCCATTCTGCTCGTAGTTCATTTTCTGTACTGTGCTCTGCTTATCAATGTTCGCTTCAGTGTTCGCGAGAGCAATAAACGCCATACTGACGACAAAAAAAAAGCTTTGACGTTTTGCTGTAGCGCTTTTAATAATACAACAAGCAAAAAAAGAAATTTCTTCCGTTTTGTGTCCCCTTCTGATTTTCTTCTATTTGTTATTTTCTTGATACCGAAGTCTGCATTGTTGTCGTGGGTCGTTTCCCGTTCTGTGTTGCGCCTCAGTGTGGCTATTTTTACTTCCATAAAGCCACCCCTTTTGTTTGAGGATCTTTTGGGGGAAACTCTGGGAAACAAAAGGCGCCTTTGGGAAGGCGAGAGGAAAATCTTAATTGTACAAACTTTGGGATGAAATATGAATCACAATCGGAACAAATGCGATGTTTTTACGAGCTCAATCTAAGTCACCGTAGCTTATTGGAGCTAGCAACAGGATTTGGTTGCTCGAAAGAATGTTCTTGTTTGCTCGTGCCACGCCCACCCTACTTCATACCGAAAACCTCGGAAAATGGCGGAATGTTAAATATGTACTTCAAATAATGAGAATAACATACTCACAAATTTATTTACAATACAGTATCAAATTCTCTCGATCAAAAGTATTTGCAAGATACCACGATACTTCAAAAAGTATTTTAAATACAATATCGTGAGTAGAGTATTTGAGATAGGCACAAGTCTGCCGAGGTCTCAGTTTGCCAACAGGTTCGAATCTTTTTTTTTTAGCTTGAAACCCTTATGTTTGACAAAGGCGCGACAAAAGTTTGACTATTATGCGCATGATCGTAAATTCAAGATGGCCGTGTGCTGTCAGGCGGAAAAGGGCGCAGCATACTTTTTCACAAACTGGATCATTAAAGGTTTATGTTTAATTTTATATCGAGTAAGGATTGGAAACTTTTTTCAAAAATGTAAGACAACCTAACGTATAGAAAATTTTATTTCCCGTAATTTAAATTGTTTGGGTACAAGTCGAGCAGCACTGCTCAAGAAATCAAACTTCGTCAAAAAAAGTCGAAGATCCACCAAACCTGTCGAACCTCTAGTTTCGACAAAACTGCAACAAACTCCAAGTAACCGTCACGCTGGTGTTAGAGGTACAAGACTTATTTATCTGCCGGTTTCGATTGTTAAACTCGAACTATACAGGTCATTATTTGTATATTTTAATCTGGTTAGATAAAATATGTTTTTTGTTCTTTAACCTGGCAACAGTACTGTATCGTGACCTCACAAACACGCGGGGTCTCTACAAATAAATTATATTGCGCGCTCTAGATATTTTCTTTAATGTATATGACGGGGGAGCAAGCTTGATTTGATGCGGCGTTTATCGCTTTCACTTCAGACTGTACTTG